AAAAAAAATGTTAGTATTTCAATAATTCAGGGCTATCCCATGTCTTATTTCTACAACAAAAAATATAGTAGGTTGTTCTAATAGCAAGATTGATCATTTTCCTTATAATATAGCGACGTTGTGTTTTGTCCATCCCAATGTCATTTAACATTTCCAGAAAGGTGGAGCATTCATTTGAAAAAATGCCCAGAGAACTCATAGATAGGTTAATAAATTTAACTCGCGTATAATTGCTGCTCAGCTCGTTAATCAAGACCTTGTATTTTTCCTTTTTCCGTATTGCTCGTTAATCAAGACCTTGTATTTTTCCTTTTTCCGTATTGCGTTTTTGCAGGCAAGGCAAGGCAGGCAGGCAAGTGATGAAAGACTTTACCTTGAGAGACAAAGAGGGGGAAGGGGATTGAAAACTTTGAGGGACATTTACAAGGAGACGAGACTACGTGTTGTATGTTATATGGTAAAGTCAACGAATCGGTGGATAAAAGCGGCATGGAGAAGGGAGGTTCTTAAGGAAGAGAATKATATAATTGCAGAAGCCTTAACATCGATGGAAGATGTAGGAGTGAGAATAAGATTCATTGATAACAAGATAAGACTTGGCGAGGAACTGATTGAGGAGGAGTGGAAACCGACATGGAGAAGGGTGAAGTCGAGGCTACAGAAGGGTGTAGAGTGTAAGASAGAAGTGATGTATAAAGCCAAAGAACAACAGGGGAAGCTGTTTAGGGAACAAGAGGAAGAATGTTTTTTATGGTTAAATCAGAACCTCCATCCGAGAAAGACGTCTGCAATAATATCAATGCTAGAACAGATGAAACAGATGGTGGAAACAAGAGCATGGAAAGCAAAGAGAGGTTTGATCGAAGATGCAATGTGTAGMGTATGTCATGAGCATGCTGAAACTGTAGAACATCTTGTAGCTGGTTGCAAAGTATTGGCTAATACTGMAWACTTGACAAGGCACARTAGAGTATTAATGATAATGGCAGTGGCTTRGGCTAAGGAAAAAGAACTAATTAATAATGCCGACGTAATTTGGTACAAAGAACGGTGGGAAAGAGGAACAGTTTTAGAGAATCACAAGGCGAAGTTGGTATGGGATTTTGAATTTTCCCTTAGRAAAACAGCAACAGCAAGAAGACCAGATTTAATACTCGAGATGAAGGAGAAGAAGAAGATATGGATTTGTGATATGGCGTGCCCACAACAACATAATATTGAGGCAAAAAAGGATGGAAAAGCTCACCAAGTATCGCCAACTTGCATTTGAGTTAAGAGAAAGACGGCCGAGATATGACGTTAAGGTGGTTCCAATGATAATTGGTGCATTGGGAGGTGGCATCTACATCTACATCTACATCATTTATTT